GTGGACGTGGACGTGGACGTGGACATGGACGTGGACGTGGACGTGGACGTGGACGTGGACGTGGACGTGGACGTGGAGGTGGACGTGGACGTGGACGTGGACGTGGAAGGTGGACGTGGACTGTGGGACGGGGACGTGGACGTGGACGTGGACGTTGACTGTGGACGTGGACCGTGGACGTGGACGTGGACGTGGACGTGGACGTGGACGTGGACGTGGACGTGGACGTGGACGTGGACGTGGAACGTGGACGTGGACGTGGACGTGGACGTGGACGTGGACGTGGATGGACGTGGACGTTGACGTGGACATGGACGTGGACGGGACGTGGACGTGGACGTGGACGTGGACCGTGGACGTGGACGTGGACGTGGACGTGGACGTGGACGTGGACGTGGACGTGGACGGGGACGTGGACGTGGACGTGGACGTGGACGTGGACGTGGACGTGGACGTGGACGTGGACGTGGACGTGGACGTGGACGTGGACGTGGACGTGGACGTGGACGTGGACGTGGACGTGGACGTGGACGTGGACGTGGACGTGGACGTGGACGTGGACGTGGACGTGGACGTGGACGTGGACGTGGACGTGGACGTGGACGTGGACATGGACGTGGACGTGGACGTGGAACGTGGAGTGGACGTGGACGGTTGGACGTGGACGTGGACGTGGACGTGGACGTGGACGTGGACGTGGACGTGGACGTGGACGTGGACATGGGACGTGGACGTGGACGTGGAGTGGACGTGGACGTGGACGTGGACATGGAGTGGACGGGGACGTGGACGTGGACGTGGACGTGGACGTGGACGTGGACGTGGACGTGGACGTGGACGTGGACGTGGACGTGGACATGGATGGACGTGGACGTGGACGTGGACGTGGACGTGGACTGGACGTGGACTGTGGTGACGTGGACGTGGACGTGGACATGGACGTGGAGTGGACGTGGACGTGGACGTGGACGTGGACGTGGACGTGGACGTGGACGGGATGTGACGTGGACGTGGACGTGGACGTGGACGTGGACGTGGACGTGGACGTGGACGTGGACGTGGACGTGGACGTGGACGTGGACGTGGACGTGGACGTGGACGTGGACGTGGACGTGGACGTGGACGTGGACGTGGACGTGGACGTGGACGTGACGTGGACGTGGGGGGGGGGGTGGACGTGGGACGTGGACGGTGTGACGTGGACGTGGACGTGGACGTGGAACGTGGACGTGGACGTGGACGTGGACGTGGACGTGGACGTGGACGTGGACGTGGACGTGGACGTGGACGTGGACGTGAAGTGGACGTGGACGTGGACTGGACGTGGACGTGGACTGGGACGTGGACGTGGACGTGGACGTGGACGTGGACGTGGACGTGGACGTGGACGTGGACGTGGACGTGGACGTGGACGTGGACGTGGACGTGGACGTGGACGTGGACGTGGACGTGGACGTGGACGTGGACGTGGACGTGGACGTGGACGTGGACGTGGACGTGGAGTGGACGTGGACGTGGACGTGGACGTGGACGTGGACGTGGACGTGGACGTGGACGTGGACGTGGACGTGGAGGTGGACGTGGACGGGACGTGGACATGGACGTGGACGTGGACGTGGACGTGGACGTGGACGTGGACGTGGACGTGGACGTGGACGTGGACGTGGACGTGGACGTGGACGTGGACGTGGACGTGGACGTGGACGTGGACGTGGACGTGGACGTGGACGTGGACGTGGACGTGGACGTGGAGTGGACGTGGACGTGGACGTGGACGTGGACGTGGACGTGGACGTGGACGTGGACGTGGACGTGGACGTGGACGTGGACGTGGACGTGGACGTGGACGTGGACATGGACGTGGAGGTGGACGTGGACGTGGACGTGGACGTGGACGTGGAACGGGGGACGTGGATGGACGTGGACGTGGACGTGGACGTGGAACGTGGACGTGGACGTGGGGACGTGGACATGGACGTGGACGTTGAACGGGACGTGGACGTGGACGTGGACGTGGACGTGACGTGGACGTGGACGTGGACGTGAGTGGACGTGGACGTGGACGTGGACGTGGACGTGGACGTGGACGTGGACGTGGACGTGGACGTGGACGTGGACGTGGACGTGGACTGTGGACGTGGACGTGGACGTGACGTGGACGTGGACGTAGGGACATGGACGTGGACGTGGACGTGGACATGGGGACGTGGACGTGGACGTGGACGTGGAATGGGACGTGGACGTGGACGTGGAGTGGACGTGGACGTGGACGTGGACATGGACGTGGACGTGGACGTGGACGTGGACGTGGACGTGGACGTGGACGTGGACGTGGACGTGGACTGGGACGTGGACGTGGACGTGGAGTGGACGTGGACGTGGACGTGGACATGGACGTGGACGTGGACGTGGACGTGGACGTGGACGTGGAAGTGGACGTGGACGTGGACGTGGACGTGGACGTGGACTGTGGACGTGGACGTGGACGACGTGGACGTGGACGTGGACGTGGACGTGGACGTGGACGTGGACGTGGACGTGGACGTGGACATGGACGTGGACGTGGACGTGGACGTGGACGTGGAGATGGACGTGGACGTGGACGTGGACGTGGACGTGGACGTGGACGTGGACGTGGACGTGGACGTGGATCTGGACGTGGACGTTGACGTGGACATGGACGTGGAGTGGACGTGGACGTGGACGTGGAGGTGGACGGGACATGGACGTGGACGTGGACGTGGACGTGGACTCGTGGACGTGGACGTGGACGTGGACGTGGACGTGGACGTGGTGGACGTGGAGTGGACGTGGACGTGGACGTGGACGTGGACGTGACGTGGACGTGGACGTGGACGTGGACGTGGACGTGGACGTGGACGTGGACGTGGACGTGGACGTGAAGGTGGACGTGGACGTGGACGTGGACGTGGACGTGGACGTGGACGTGGTGGACGTGGACGTGGACGTGGACGTGGACGTGGACGTGGACGTGGACGTGGACATGGACGTGGACGTGGACAGGACGTGGACGTGGACGTGGACGTGACGTGGACGTGGACGTGGACGTGAACGTGGACGTGGACGTGGACGTGGACGTGGACGTGGACGTGGACGTGTGGACGTGGACGTGGGACGTGGACGTGGACGTGGACGTGGACGTGGACGTGGACAGGAACGTGGACGTGGGACATGGACGTGGACGTGGACGTGGACGTGGACGTGGACATGGACGTGGACGTGGACATGGACGTGGACGTGGACGTGGACATGGACGTGGACGTGGACGTGGACGTGGACGGGACGTGGACGTGGACGTGGACGTGGACGTGGACGTGGACGTGGACATGGACGTGGACGTGGACGTGGACGTGGACGTGGACGTGGACGTGGACGTGGACGTGGACGTGGACGTGGACGTGGACGTGGACGTGGACGTGGACCTGGACGTGGACGTGGACGTGGACGTGGACGTGGACGTGGACGTGGACGTGGACGTGGACGTGGACGTGGACTGGACGTGGGTAAGGTGGCTGTGGATGGGGAGGACGTGGACGTGGACGTGGACGTGGACGTGGACGTTGGACCGTGGACGTGGACGTGGACGTGGAACGTGGACTGGACGTGGACGTGGACGTGGACATGGACGTGGACGTGGACATGGACGTGGACGTGGACGTGGACGTGGACATGGACGTGGACGTGGACGTGGACGTGGACGTGGACTTGGACGTGGACGTGGACGTGGACGTGGACGTGGACGTGGACGTGGACGTGGACGTGGGAGTGGACGTGGACGTGGACCTGGACGTGGACGTGGACGTGGACGTGGAGGTGGACGTGGACGTGGACGTGGAGGTGGACGTGGACGTGGACGTGGACGTGGACGTGGACGTGGACGTGGACGTGGACGTGGACGTGGACGTGGACGTGGACGTGGACGTTGAACGTGGACGTGGACGTGGACGTGGACATGGACGTGGACATGGACGTGGACGTGGACAGACGTGGACGTGGACGTGGACGTGGACGGGACGTGGACGTGGACGTGGACGTGGACGTGGACGTGGACGTGGACGTGGACGTGGACGTGGACGTGGACGTGGACGTGGACGTGGACGTGGACGTGGACATGGACGTGGACGTGGAGTGGACGTGGACGTGGACGTGGACGTGGACGTGGACGTGGACGTGGACGTGGACGTGGACGTGGACGTGGACGTGGACGTGGACGTGGACGTGGACTGGACGTGGACGTGGACGTGGACGGGGACGTGGACGTGGACGTGGACGTGGACGTGGACGTGGACGTGGACGTGGACGTGGACGTGGACGTGGACGTGGACGTGGACGTGGACGTGGACGTGGACGGGACGTGGACGTGGACGTGGACGTGGACGTGGACGTGGACGTGGACGTGGACGTGGACGTGGACGTGGACGTGGACATGGACGTGGACGGGACGTGGACGTGGACGTGGACGTGGACGTGGACCTGGACGTGGACGTGGACGTGGACGTGGACGTGGACGTGGAGTGGACGTGGGACGTGGACGTGGACGTGGACGTGGACGTGGACTGGACGTGGACGTGGAGTGGACGTGGACGTGGACGTGGACGTGGACGTGGACGTGGACGTGGACGTGGACGTGGACGTGGACGTGGACGTGGACGTGGACCTGGACTGGACGTGGACAGTGGACGTGGACGTGGACTGGACGTGGACGTGGACGTGGACGTGGAGTGGACGTGGACGTGGACGTGGACGTGGACGTGGACGTGGACGTGGACGTGGACGTGGACGTGGAGTGGACGTGGACGTGGACGTGGACATGGACGTGGACGTGGACGTGGACGTGGACGTGGACGTGGACGTGGACGTGGACGTGGACGTGGACGTGGACGTGGACGTGGACGTGGACGTGGACGTGGACGTGGACGTGGACGTGGACGTGGACGTGGACAGGACGATGGACATGGACGTGGACGTGGACGTGGACGTGGACGTGGACGTGGACGTGGACGTGACGTGGACGTGGACGTGGACGTGGACGTGGACGTGGACGTGGACGTGGACGTGGACGTGGACGTGGACGTGGACGTGGACGTGGACGTGGACATGGACGTGGACGTGGACGTGGACGTGGACGTGGACGTGGACGTGGACGTGGACGTGGACGCGTGGACGTGGACGTGGACGTGGACGTGGACGTGGACGTGGACGTGGACTGGACGTGGACGTGGACGTGGACGTGGACGTGGACGTGGACGTGGACGTGGACGTGGACGTGGAGTGGACGTGGACGTGGACGTGGACGTGGACGTGGACGTGGACGTGGACTGGACGTGGACGTGGACGTGGACGTGGACGTGGACGTGGACGTGGACGTGGACGTGGACGTGGACGTGGACGTGGACGTGGACCTGGACGTGGACGTGGACGTGGACGTGGACGTGGACGTGGACGTGACGTGGACGTGGACGTGGACGTGGACGTGGACGTGGACTGGACGTGGACGTGGACGTGGACATGGACGTGGACGTGGACATGGGGTGGACGTGGACGTGGACGTGGACATGGACGTGGACGTGGACGTGGACGTGGACGTTGACGTGGACGTGGACGTGGACGTGGACGTGGACGTGGACTGGACGTGGACGTGGACGTGGACGTGGACGTGGACGTGGACGTGGACGTGGACGTGGACGTGGAGTGGACGTGGACGTGGAGGTGGACGTGGACGTGGACGTGGACATGGACGTGGACGTGGACGTGGACGTGGACGTGGACGTGGAGTGTGGACGTGGACGTGGACGTGGACGTGGACGTGGACACGTGGACGTGGACGTGGACGTGGACAGTGGACATGGACGTGGACGTGGACAGGGACATGAGTACGTGGACGTGGAGGTGGACGTGGACGTGGACGTGACGTGGACGTGACGTGGACGTGGACGTGGAGGTGGACGTGGACGTGGACGTGGACGTGGACGTGGACGTGGACGTGGACGTGGACAGGAACATGGACATGGACGTGGACGTGGACGTGGACGTGGACGTGGACATGGACGTGGACGTGGACATGGACGTGGACGTGGACGTGGACATGGACGTGGACGTGGACGTGGACGTGGACTGGGACGTGGACGTGGACGTGGACGTGGACGTGGACGTGGACGTGGACGTGGACGTGGACGTGGACGTGGACGTGGACGTGGACGTGGACGTGGACGTGGACGTGGACGTGGACGTGGACGTGGACGTGGACGTGGACGTGGACGTGGACGTGGACGTGGACGTGGACGTGGACGTGGACGTGGACGTGGACGTGGACGTGGACGTGGACCTGGACGTGGACGTGGACGTGGACGTGGACGTGGACGTGGACGTGGACGTGGACGTGGACGTGACGTGGACGTGGACGTGGACGTGGACGTGGATCTGGACGTGGACGTGGACGTGGACATGGACGTGGGCGTGGACATGGACGTGGACGTGGACGTGGATGTGGACATGGACATGGACGTGGACGTGGACGTGGACGTGGACTTTGACGTGGACGTGGACGTGGACGTGGACGTGGACGTGGACGTGGACGTGGACGTGGACGTGGACGTGGACGTGGACGTGGACGTGGACGTGGACGTGGACGTGGACGTGGACGTGGACGGGACGTGGACGTGGAGGTGGACGTGGACGTGGACGTGGAGGGGACGTGGACGTGGACGTGGAGGTGGACGTGGAGGTGGACGTGGACGTGGACGTGGACGTGGACGTGGAGGTGGACGTGGAGGTGGACGTGGAGGTGGACGTGGACGTGGACGTGGACGTGGACGTGGACGTGGACATGGTCGTGGACATGGACAGGACGTGGACATGGACGTGGACGTGGGGGACGTGGACGTGGACGTGGACGTGGACGTGGACGTGGACGTGGACGTGGACGTGGACGTGGACGTGGATGTGGACGTGGACGTGGACGTGGACGTGGACGTGGACGGGACATGGACGTGGACGTGGGACGTGGACGTGGACGTGGACGTGGACGTGGACGTGGACGTGGACGTGGACGTGACGTGGACGTGGACGTGGACGTGGACGTGGACGTGGACGTGGACGTGGACATGGACTGGAACATGGACATGGACATGGACGTGGACGTGGACGTGGACGTGGACGTGGACGTGGACGTGGACGTGGACGTGGACGTGGACGTGGACGTGGACGTGGGACGTGGACGTGGACGTGGACGTGGACGTGGACGTGGACGTGGACGTGGACGTGGACGTGGACGTGGACATGGACGTGGACGTGGACGTGGACGTGGACGTGGACGTGGACGTGGACGTGGACGTGGGAGTGGACGTGGACGTGGACGTGGACGTGGACGTGGACGTGGACATGGTGGACGTGGACGTGAAGTGGACGTGGACGTGGACCGGACGTGGACGTGGACGTGGACGTGGACGTGGACGTGGACGTGGACGTGGACGTGGACGTGGACGTGGACGTGGACGTGGACGTGGACGTGGACGTGGACGTGGACGTGGACGTGGACGTGGAGGGGACGTGGAGGTGGACGTGGAGGGTGACGTGGACGTGGACGTGGACGTGGACGTGGACGTGGACATGGACGTGGACATGGACAGGAACATGGACGTGGACGTGGACGTGGACGTGGACGTGGTCGTGGACGTGGACGTGGACGTGGACGTGGACGTGGACGTGGACGTGGACGTGGACGTGGACGTGGACGTGGACGTGGACGTGGACGTGGACGTGGACATGGACGTGGACGTGGACGTGGACGTGGACGTGGACGTGACGTTGACGTGGACGTGGACGTGGACGTGACGTGGACGTGGACGTGGACGTGGACGTGGACGTGGACGTGGAGTGGACATGGACTGGAACATGGACGTGGACGTGGACGTGGACGTGGACGTGGACGTGGACGTGGACGTGGACGTGGACGTGGACGTGGACGTGGACGTGGAGTGGACGGGGTGGACGTGGACGTGGACGTGGACGTGGACGTGGACGTGGACGTGGACGTGGACGTGGACGTGGACGTGGACGTGGACATGGACGTGGACGTGGACGTGGACGTGGACGTGGACGTGGACGTGGACGTGGACGTGGACGTGGACGTGGACGTGGACGTGGACGTGGACGTGGACGTGGACGTGGACGTGGACGTGGACGTGGACGTGGACGTGGAGGACGTGGACGTGGACTGGACGTGGACGTGGACGTGGACGTTGACGTGGACGTGGACGTGGACGTGGACGTGGAGGTGGACGTGGACGTGGACGTGGACGTGGACGTGGACGTGGACGTGGACGTGGACGTGGAGGTGGACGTGGACGTGGACGTGGACGTGGACGTGGACGTGGACTGGACGTGGACGTGGCGTGGACGTGGACGTGGACGTGGACGTGGACGTGGACATGGACGTGGACGTGGACGTGGACGTGGACGTGGACGTGGACGTGGACGTGGACGTGGACGTGGACGTGGACGTGGAGTGGACGTGGACGTGGACGTGGACGTGGACGTGGACGTGGACGTGGACGTGGACTGGACGTGGACGTGGATCTGGACGTGGACGTGGACGTGACGTGGACGTGGACGTGGACGTGGACGTGGACGTGGACGAGGACGTGGACGTGGACGTGGACGTGGACGTGGACATGGACGTGGACGTGGACGTGGACCTGGACGTGGACGTGGACGTGGACGTGGACGTGGACGTGGACCTGGAGTGGACCTGGACGTGGACCTGGACGTGGACCTGGACGTGGACGTGGACGTGGACGTGGACGTGGACGTGGAGGTGGACGTGGACGTGGATGTGGACATGGACGTGGAGGTGGACGTGGACGTGGACGTGGACGTGGACGTGGAGGTGGACGTGGAGGTGGACGTGGACGTGGACGTGGACGTGGACGTGGACGTGGACATGGACGTGGAGGTAGACGTGGAGTGGACGTGGACGTGGACGTGGACATGGACGTGGACGTGGACGTGGACATGGACGTGGACGTGGACGTGGACGTGGACATGGACGTGGACGTGGACGTGGACGTGGACGTGGACATGGACGTGGACGTAGACGTGGACGTGGACGTGGACATGGACGTGGACGTGGACGTGGACGTGAACGTGGACGTGGAGAACTTGGACGTGGACATGGACGTGAACGTGGACGTGGACTTGGACGTGGACGTGGACGTGGACGTGGACGTGGACATGGACGTGGACGTGGACGTGGACGTGGACATGGACATGGACGTGGACGTGGACGTGGACATGGACATGGACATGGACGTGGACGTAGACGTGGACGTGGACATGGACATGGACGTGGACATGGACATGGACATGGACATGGACATGGACATGGACGTGGACATGGACGTGGACGTGGACGTGGACGTGGACGTGGACGTGGACGTGGACATGGACGTGGACGTAGACCGTGGACGTGGACGTGGACATGGACGTGGACGTGGACGTGGACGTGAACGTGGACGTGGAGAACTTGGACGTGGACATGGACGTGAACGTGGACGTGGACGTGGACGTGGACGTGGACCGTGGACGTGGACGTGGACATGGACATGGACGTGGACGTGGACGTGGACATGGACGTGGACGTGGACGTGGACGTGGACATGGACGTGGACGTGGACGTGGACATGGACGTGGACGTGGACGTGGACGTGGACGTGGACGTGGACATGGACGTGGACGTAGACGTGGACGTGGACGTGGACATGGACGTGGACGTGGACGTGGACGTGAACGTGGACGTGGAGAACTTGGACGTGGACATGGACGTGAACGTGGACGTGGACGTGGACGTGGAGGACTTGGACGTGGACATGGACGTGGACGTGGAGTGGACGTGGACGTGGACGTGGACGTTGACGTGGACGTGGACGTGGACGTGGACATGGACGTGGACGTAGACGTGGACGTGGACGTGGACATGGACGTGGACGTGGACGTCGACGTGAACGTGGACGTGGAGAACTTGGACGTGGACATGGACGTGAACGTGGACGTGGACGTGGACGTGGACGTGGACGTGGACGTGGACGTGGACATGGACATGGACGTGGACGTGGACGTGGACATGGACGTGGACGTGGACGTGGACGTGGACATGGACGTGGACGTGGACGTGGACATGGACGTGGACGTGGACGTGGACGTAGACGTGGACGTGGACATGGACGTGGACGTAGACGTGGACGTGGACGTGGACATGGACGTGGACGTGGACGTGGACGTGAACGTGGACGTGGAGAACTTGGACGTGGACATGGACGTGAACGTGGACGTGGACGTGGACGTGGAGGACTTGGACGTGGACATGGACGTGGACGTGGAGTGGACGTGGACGTGGACGTGGACGTTGACGTGGACGTGGACGTGGACATGGACGTGGACGTGGACGTGGACGTGGACGTGGACATGGACGTGGACATGGACGTGGACGTGGACGTGGAGTGGACGTGGAGTGGACGTGGACGTGGACCTGGACGTGGACGTGGACGTGGACGTGGACGTGGACGTGGACGTGGAGGACGTGGACCGTGGACGTGGACGTGGACGTGGAGAACTTGGACGTGGACATGGATGTGAACGTGGACGTGGACGTGGACGTGGAGGACTTGGACGTGGACATGGACGTGGACGTGGACGTGGACATGGACGTGGACGTGGACGTGGACGTGGACGTGGACATGGACGTGGACGTGGACGTGGACGTGGACGTGGACATGGACCTGGACATAGACGTGGACGTGGACGTGGACTGTGGACGTGGACGTGGACATGGACGTGGACGTGGACGTGGTTGTGGACGTGGACGTGGACGTGGACATGGACGTGGACGTGAACAAGACGTGGACGTGAACATGGACGTGGACATGGACGTGGACGTGGACATGGACGTGGACATGGACGTGGACATAAACGTGGACGTGGACGTGGACATGGACGTGGACGTGGACCATGGACGTGGACATGGACGTGAAGATGGACGTGGACATGGACATGGACGTGGACATGGACGTGGACATGGACGTGGACAGGAGTGGACGTGGACGTGGACGTGGACGTGGACGTGGAGATGGACGTGGACGTGGACGTGGACGTGGACGTGGACGTGGACGTGGACCTGGACGTGGACGTGGACGTGGACGTGGACGTGGACCTGGACGTGGACATGGACGTGGACGTGGACCTGGACGTGGACGTGGACGTGGACGTGGACGTGGAGTGGACGTGGACGTGGACCTGGACGTGGACGTGGACGTGGACGTGGACGTGGACGTGGACGTGGACGTGGATCTGGACGTGGACGTGGATCTAGACGTGGACGTGGACGTGACGTGGACGTGGACGTGGACGTGGACGTGGACGAGGACGTGGACGTGGACGTGGACGTGGACGTGGACATGGACGTGGACGTGGACGTGGACCTGGACGTGGACATGGACGTGAACGTGGACGTGACGTGGACGTGGAGGACTTGGACGTGGACATGGACGTGGACGTGGAGTGGACGTGGACGTGGACGTGGACGTTGACGTGGACGTGGACGTGGACATGGACGTGGACGTGGACGTGGACGTGGACGTGGACATGGACGTGGACATGGACGTGGACGTGGACGTGGAGTGGACGTGGAGTGGACGTGGACGTGGACCTGGACGTGGACGTGGACGTGGACGTGGACGTGGACGTGGACGTGGAGGACGTGGACGTGGACGTGGACGTGGACGTGGAGAACTTGGACGTGGACATGGATGTGAACGTGGACGTGGACGTGGACGTGGAGGACTTGGACGTGGACATGGACGTGGACGTGGACGTGGACATGGACGTGGACGTGGACGTGGACGTGGACGTGGACATGGACGTGGACGTGGACGTGGACGTGGACGTGGACATGGACCTGGACATAGACGTGGACGTGGACGTGGACGTGGACGTGGACGTGGACATGGACGTGGACGTGGACGTGGTTGTGGACGTGGACGTGGACGTGGACATGGACGTGGACGTGAACAAGACGTGGACGTGAACATGGACGTGGACATGGACGTGGACGTGGACATGGACGTGGACATGGACGTGGACATAAACGTGGACGTGGACGTGGACATGGACGTGTTCGTGGACATGGACGTGGACATGGACGTGAAGATGGACGTGGACATGGACATGGACGTGGACATGGACGTGGACATGGACGTGGACATGGACGTGGACGTGGACGTGGACGTGGACGTGGACGTGGACGTGGAGATGGACGTGGACGTGGACGTGGACGTGGACGTGGACGTGGACGTGGACCTGGACGTGGACGTGGACGTGGACGTGGACGTGGACCTGGACGTGGACATGGACGTGGACGTGGACCTGGACGTGGACGTGGACGTGGACGTGGACGTGGAGTGGACGTGGACGTGGACCTGGACGTGGACGTGGACGTGGACGTGGACGTGGACGTGGACGTGGACGTGGATCTGGACGTGGACGGGGATCTAGACGTGGACGTGGACGTGACGTGGACGTGGACGTGGACGTGGACGAGGACGTGGACGTGGACGTGGACGTGGACGTGGACATGGACGTGGACGTGGACGTGGACCTGGACGTGGACGTGGACGTGGACGTGGACGTGGACCTGGAGTGGACCTGGACGTGGACCTGGACGTGGACCTGGATGTGGACGTGGACGTGGACGTGGACGTGGACGTGGACGTGGACGTGGAGGTGGAGGTGGACGTGGACGTGGACATGGACGTGGAGGTGGACGTGGACGTGGACGTGGACGTGGACGTGGAGGTGGACGTGGAGGTGGAGGTGGACGTGGACGTGGACGTGGACGTGGACGTGGACATGGACGTGGAGGTAGACGTGGAGTGGACGTGGACGTGGACGTGGACATGGACGTGGACGTGGACGTGGACATGGACGTGGACGTGGACGTGGACGTGGACATGGACGTGGACGTGGACGTGGACGTGGACGTGGACGTGGACATGGACGTGGACGTAGGACGTGGACGTGGACGTGGACATGGACGTGGACGTGGACGTGGACGTGGACGTGGACGTGGAGAACTTGGACGTGGACATGGACGTGAACGTGGACGTGGACGTGGACGTGGAGGACTTGGACGTGGACATGGACGTGGACGTGGAGTGGACGTGGACGTGGACGTGGACGTTGACGTGGACGTGGACGTGGACGTGGACGTGGACGTGGACGTGGACGTGGACGTGGACATGGACGTGGACGTGGACGTGGACGTGGACGTGGAGTGGACGTGGAGTGGACGTGGACGTGGACCTGGACGTGGACGTGGACGTGGACGTGGACGTGGACGTGGAGGACGTGGACGTGGACGTGGACGTGGACGTGGAGAACTTGGACGTGGACATGGATGTGAACGTGGACGTGGACGTGGAGGACTTGGACGTGGACATGGACGTGGACGTGGACGTGGACGTGGACGTGGACATGGACGTGGACGTGGACGTGGACGTGGACGTGGACATGGACCTGGACATAGACGTGGACGTGGACGTGGACGTGGACGTGGACGTGGACATGGACGTGGACGTGGACGTGGTTGTGGACGTGGACGTGGACGTGGACATGGACGTGGACGTGAACAAGACGTGGACGTGAACATGGACGTGGACATGGACGTGGACGTGGACATGGACGTGGACATGGACGTGGACATAAACGTGGACGTGGACGTGGACATGGACGTGGACGTGGACATGGACGTGGACATGGACGTGAAGATGGACGTGGACATGGACATGGACGTGGACATGGACGTGGACATGGACGTGGACATGGACGTGGACGTGGACGTGGACGTGGACGTGGACGTGGACGTGGAGATGGACGTGGACGTGGACGTGGACGTGGACGTGGACGTGGACGTGGACCTGGACGTGGACGTGGACGTGGACGTGGACGTGGACGTGGACCTGGACGTGGACATGGACGTGGACGTGGACCTGGACGTGGACGTGGACGTGGACGTGGACGTGGACGTGGAGTGGACGTGGACGTGGACCTGGACGTGGACGTGGACGTGGACGTGGACGTGGACGTGGACGTGGACGTGGATCTGGACGTGGACGTGGATCTGGACGTGGACGTGGACGTGACGTGGTCGTGGACGTGGACGTGGACGTGGACGAGGACGTGGACGTGGACGTGGACGTGGACATGGACGTGGACGTGGACGTGGACCTGGACGTGGACGTGGACGTGGACGTGGACGTGGACGTGGACCTGGAGTGGACCTGGACGTGGACCTGGACGTGGACCTGGACGTGGACGTGGACGTGGACGTGGACGTGGACGTGGACGTGGAGGTGGACGTGGACGTGGACGTGGACATGGACGTGGAGGTGGACGTGGACGTGGACGTGGACGTGGACGTGGAGGTGGACGTGGAGGTGGACGTGGACGTGGACGTGGACGTGGACGTGGACGTGGACATGGACGTGGAGGTAGACGTGGAGTGGACATGACGTGGACGTGGACATGGACGTGGACGTGGACATGGACGTGGACGTGGACGTGGACATGGACGTGGACGTGGACGTGGACGTGGACATGGACGTGGACGTGGACGTGGACGTGGACGTGGACGTGGACGTGGACATGGACGTGGACGTAGACGTGGACGTGGACGTGGACATGGACGTGGACGTGGACGTGGACGTGGACGTGGACGTGGAGAACTTGGACGTGGACATGGACGTGAACGTGGACGTGGACGTGGACGTGGAGGACTTGGACGTGGACATGGACGTGGACGTGGAGTGGACGTGGACGTGGACGTGGACGTTGACGTGGACGTGGACGTGGACATGGACGTGGACGTGGACGTGGACGTGGACGTGGACATGGACGTGGACATGGACGTGGACGTGGACGTGGAGTGGACGTGGAGTGGACGTGGACGTGGACCTGGACGTGGACGTGGACGTGGACGTGGAGGACGTGGACGTGGACGTAGACATGGACATGGACGTGGACGTGGACGTGGACATGGACATGGACATGGACATGGACATGGACATGGACATGGACGTGGACATGGACGTGGACGTGGACGTGGACGTGGACGTGGACGTGGACGTGGACGTGGACATGGACGTGGACGTAGACGTGGACGTGGACGTGGACATGGACGTGGACGTGGACGTGGACGTGAACGTGGACGTGGAGAACTTGGACGTGGACATGGACGTGAACGTGGACGTGGACGTGGACGTGGACGTGGACGTGGACGTGGACGTGGACATGGACATGGACGTGGACGTGGACGTGGACATGGACGTGGACGTGGACGTGGACGTGGACATGGACGTGGACGTGGACGTGGACATGGACGTGGACGTGGACTTGGACGTGGACGTGGACATGGACGTGGACGTAGACGTGGACGTGGACGTGGACATGGACGTGGACGTGGACGTGGACGTGAACGTGGACGTGGAGAACTTGGACGTGGACATGGACGTGAACGTGGACGTGGACGTGGACGTGGAGGACTTGGACGTGGACATGGACGTGGACGTGGAGTGGACGTGGACGTGGACGTGGACGTTGACGTGGACGTGGACGTGGACATGGACGTGGACGTGGACGTGGACGTGGACGTGGACATGGACGTGGACATGGACGTGGACGTGGACGTGGAGTGGACGTGGAGTGGACGTGGACGTGGACCTGGACGTGGACGTGGACGTGGACGTGGACGTGGACGTGGACGTGGACGTGGAGGACGTGGACGTGGACGTGGACGTGGACGTGGAGAACTTGGACGTGGACATGGATGTGAACGTGGACGTGGACGTGGACGTGGAGGACTTGGACGTGGACATGGACGTGGACGTGGACGTGGACATGGACGTGGACGTGGACGTGGACGTGGACGTGGACATGGACGTGGACGTGGACGTGGACGTGGACGTGGACATGGACCTGGACATAGACGTGGACGTGGACGTGGACGTGGACGTGGACGTGGACATGGACGTGGACGTGGACGTGGTTGTGGACGTGGACGTGGACGTGGACATGGACGTGGACGTGAACAAGACGTGGACGTGAACATGGACGTGGACATGGACGTGGACGTGGACATGGAAATGGACATGGACGTGGACATAAACGTGGACGTGGACGTGGACATGGACGTGGACGTGGACATGGACGTGGACATGGACGTGAAGATGGACGTGGACATGGACATGGACGTGGACATGGACGTGGACATGGACGTGGACATGGACGTGGACGTGGACGTGGACGTGGACGTGGACGTGGAGATGGACGTGGACGTGGACGTGGACGTGGACGTGGACGTGGACCTGGACGTGGACGTGGACGTGGACGTGGACGTGGACCTGGACTTGGACATGGACGTGGACGTGGACCTGGACGTGGACGTGGACGTGGACGTGGAGTGGACGTGGACGTGGACCTGGACGTGGACGTGGACGTGGACGTGGACGTGGACGTGGACGTGGACGTGGACGTGGATCTGGACGTGGACGTGGATCTGGACGTGGACGTGGACGTGACGTGGACGTGGACGTGGACGTGGACGTGGACGAGGACGTGGACGTGGACGTGGACGTGGACGTGGACATGGACGTGGACGTGGACGTGGACGTGGACGTGGACGTGGACGTGGACGTGGACCTGGAGTGGACCTGGACGTGGACCTGGACGTGGACCTGGACGTGGACGTGGACGTGGACGTGGACGTGGACGTGGACGTGGACGTGGAGGTGGACGTGGACGTGGACATGGACGTGGAGGTGGACGTGGACGTGGACGTGGACGTGGACGTGGAGGTGGACGTGGAGGTGGAGGTGGACGTGGACGTGGACGTGGACGTGGACGTGGACATGGACGTGGAGGTAGACGTGGAGTGGACGTGGACGTGGACGTGGACATGGACGTGGACGTGGACGTGGACATGGACGTGGACGTGGACGTGGACGTGGACATGGACGTGGACGTGGACGTGGACGTGGACGTGGACGTGGACATGGACGTGGACGTAGACGTGGACGTGGACGTGGACATGGACGTGGACGTGGACGTGGACGTGGACGTGGAGAACTTGGACGTGGACATGGACGTGAACGTGGACGTGGACGTGGACGTGGAGGACTTGGACGTGGACATGGACGTGGACGTGGAGTGGACGTGGACGTGGACGTGGATGTTGACGTGGACGTGGACGTGGACATGGACGTGGACGTGGACGTGGACGTGGACGTGGACATGGACGTGGACGTGGACGTGGACGTGGAGTGGACGTGGAGTGGACGTGGACGTGGACCTGGACGTGGACGTGGACGTGGACGTGGACGTGGACGTGGACGTGGAGGACGTGGACGTGGACGTGGACGTGGACGTGGAGAACTTGGACGTGGACATGGATGTGAACGTGGACGTGGACGTGGACGTGGAGGACTTGGACGTGGACATGGACGTGGACGTGGACGTGGACGTGGACGTGGACATGGACGTGGACGTGGACGTGGACGTGGACGTGGACATGGACCTGGACATAGACGTGGACGTGGACGTGGACGTGGACGTGGACATGGACGTGGACGTGGACGTGGTTGTGGACGTGGACGTGGACGTGGACATGGACGTGGACGTGAACAAGACGTGGACGTGAACATGGACGTGGACATGGACGTGGACGTGGACATGGACGTGGACATGGACGTGGACATAAACGTGGACGTGGACGTGGACATGGACGTGGACGTGGACATGGACGTGGACATGGACGTGAAGATGGACGTGGACATGGACATGGACGTGGACATGGACGTGGACATGGACGTGGACATGGACGTGGACGTGGACGTGGACGTGGACGTGGACGTGGACGTGGAGATGGACGTGGACGTGGACGTGGACGTGGACGTGGACGTGGACGTGGACCTGGACGTGGACGTGGACCTGGACGTGGACGTGGACGTGGACCTGGACGTGGACATGGACGTGGACGTGGACCTGGACGTGGACGTGGACGTGGACGTGGACGTGGAGTGGACGTGGACGTGGACCTGGACGTGGACGTGGACGTGGACGTGGACGTGGACGTGGACGTGGACGTGGACGTGGATCTGGACGTGGACGTGGATCTGGACGTGGACGTGGACGTGACGTGGACGTGGACGTGGACGTGGACGTGGACGAGGACGTGGACGTGGACGTGGACGTGGACGTGGACATGGACGTGGACGTGGACGTGGACCTGGACGTGGACGTGGACGTGGACGTGGACGTGGACGTGGACCTGGAGTGGACCTGGACGTGGACCTGGACGTGGACCTGGACGTGGACGTGGACGTGGACGTGGACGTGGACGTGGACGTGGAGGTGGACGTGGACGTGGACGTGGACATGGACGTGGAGGTGGACGTGGACGTGGACGTGGACGTGGACGTGGAGGTGGACGTGGAGGTGGACGTGGACGTGGACGTGGACGTGGACGTGGACATGGACGTGGAGGTAGACGTGGAGTGGACATGGACGTGGACGTGGACATGGACGTGGACGTGGACGTGGACATGGACGTGGACGTGGACGTGGACGTGGACATGGACGTGGACGTGGACGTGGACGTGGACGTGGACGTGGACATGGACGTGGACGTAGACGTGGACGTGGACGTGGACATGGACGTGGACGTGGACGTGGACGTGGACGTGGACGTGGAGAACTTGGACGTGGACATGGACGTGAACGTGGACGTGGACGTGGACGTGGAGGACTTGGACGTTGACATGGACGTGGACGTGGAGTGGACGTGGACGTGGACGTGGACGTTGACGTGGACGTGGACGTGGACATGGACGTGGACGTGGACGTGGACGTGGACGTGGACATGGACGTGGACATGGACGTGGACGTGGACGTGGAGTGGACGTGGAGTGGACGTGGACGTGGACCTGGACGTGGACGTGGACGTGGACGTGGACGTGGACGTGGAGGACGTGGACGTGGACGTGGACGTGGACGTGGAGAACTTGGACGTGGACATGGATGTGAACGTGGACGTGGACGTGGACGTGGAGGACTTGGACGTGGACATGGACGTGGACGTGGACGTGGACATGGACGTGGACGTGGACGTGGACGTGGACGTGGACATGGACGTGGACGTGGACGTGGACGTGGACGTGGACATGGACCTGGACATAGACGTGGACGTGGACGTGGACGTGGACGTGGACGTGGACATGGACGTGGACGTGGACGTGGTTGTGGACGTGGACGTGGACGTGGACGTGGTTGTGGACGTGGACGTGGACGTGGACATGGACGTGGACGTGAACAAGACGTGGACGTGAACATGGACGTGGACATGGACGTGGACGTGGACATGGACGTGGACATGGACGTGGACATAAACGTGGACGTGGACGTGGACATGGACGTGGACGTGGACATGGACGTGGACATGGACGTGAAGATGGACGTGGACATGGACATGGACGTGGACATGGACGTGGACATGGACGTGGACATGGACGTGGACGTGGACGTGGGCGTAGACGTGGACGTGGACGTGGAGATGGACGTGGACGTGGACGTGGAGGACTTGGACGTGGAGATGGACGTTGACGTGGACGTGGACGTGGACATGGACGTGGACGTGGACATGGACGTGGACGTGGACGTGGACATGGACGTGGACATGTACGTGGACGTCGACGTGGAAGTGGACGTGGACGTGGAGAACTTGGACGTGGACATGGACGTGGACATGGACGTGGACGTGGATGTGGATGAAGACATGGTCGTAGATGTGGACGTGGACGTGGACGTGGACGTGGATATGGACTTAGACGTGGACGTGGAGGTGGACGTGGACGTGGTCGTGGACGTGGACGTGGTCGTGGACATGGACGTGGACGTGGACATGGACGTGGACGTGGACGTGGACGTAGACATGGACGTGGACCTGGACGTGGACGAGGACGTGGACATGGACGTGGACGTGGACGTAGACAGGGACATGGACTTGGTCCACGTCCATGTCCACGTCCACGTCCATGTCCACGTCCACGTCCATGTCCACGTCCATGTCCATGTCCATGTCCACGTCCACGTCCACGTCCATGTCATTTGCACTCTAAGTTCCCATACTGACCGACCTGGCCAATGCACCATTTTCCATATACATATGTATTAGATTCCTTTCGAACCTTATTAGCTCACTAGATTTATATATTTCCCACCTTCTGATCGAGTGAGACCGCTAGATTCCCTCTACTTTTTGAGAAACGAGCGTTTCCGTTCTCCTTGGCCCCACCTGCACTATGAGTGCGAAATGCCGGCCAGACTGGCCGATGCTCCATTTTCTCTACACATGTGCGTTAGTTACCTTTCAAACCCTTACGTTCACTAGATGAATATATTTCCTACCTTATATTTGAGTGAGACCACTAGATTCCGTGTATTATGCGAGATCTGAGCGGTTCCGTTCTCCCAGGCATTTGCACTTTAAGTTCCCATACTGACCGACCTGGCCAATGCACCATTTTCCATATACATATGCATTAGATTCCTTTCCAACCTTGTAAGCTCACTAGATTTATATATTTACCACCTTCTGATCGAGTGAGAGTGCTAGATTCCCTTTACTTTTTTAGAAATGAGCGTTTCCGTTCTCCTTGGCCCTACGTGCACTATAAGTGCGAAATGCCGGCCAGACTGGCCGATTCTCCATTTTCTCTACACATGTGCGTTAGTTACCTTTCAAACCCTTACGTTCACTAGATGAATTTATTTCCTACCTTCTATTTGAGTGAGACCACTAGATTCCGTGTACTATGCGAGATCTGAGCGCTTCCGTTCTCCCTGGCATTTGCACTCTAAGTTCCCATACTGACCGACCTGGCCAATGCACCATTTTCCATATACATATGCATTAGATTCCTTTCGAACCTTATTAGCTCATTAGATTTATATATTTCCCACCTTCTGATCGAGTGAGACCGTTAGATTCCCTCTACTTTTTGAGAAATGAGCGTTTCCGTTCTCCTTGGCCCTACTTGCACTATAAGTGCGAAATGCCGGCCAGACTGGCCGATGCGCAATTTTCTCTACACATGTGCGTAAGTTACCTTTCAAACCCTTACGTTCACTAGATGCATATATTTCTTACCTTATATTTGAGTGAGACCACTAGATTCCATGTATTATGCGAGATCTGAGCGGTTCCGTTCTCCGAGGCATTTTCAATCTAAGTTCCCATACTGACTGACCTGGCCAATGCACCACTTTCCATATACATATGCATTAGATTGCTTCCGAACATTATTAATTCACTAGATTTATATATTTCCCACCTTCTGATCGAGTGAGACCGCTAGATTCCCTTTACTTTTTGAGAAATAAGCGTTTCCGTTCTCCTTGGCCCTAGTTTCACTAAACGTGCGAAATGCCGGCCAGACTGGCCGATGCACCATTTTCTCTACACATGTACGTTAGTTACCTTTCAAACCCTTACGTTCACTAGATGAATTTATTTCCTACATTCTATTTGAGTGAGACCACTAGATTCCGTGTACTATGCAAGATCTGAGCGCTTACGTTCTCCCTGGCATTTGCATTTTAAGTTCCGATACTGACCGACCTGGCCAATGCACCATTTTCTCTATACATGTGCGTTGAATTCATTTCAAAACTTTTTAGCTGACTAGATTTATATATTTCCCACCTTCTGATCGAGTGAGACCATTAGATTCCCTCTACTTTTTTAGAAACGAGCGTTTCCGTTCTCCCTGGCCCCACCTGCACTATGAGTGCGAAATGCCGGCCAGACTGGCCGATGCACCATTTTCTCTACACATGTGCGTTAGTTACCTTTCAAACCCTTACGTTCACTAGATGAATATATTTCCTACCTTATATTTGAGTGAGACCACTAGATTCCGTGTATTATGCGAGATCTGAGCGGTTCCGTTCTCCCAGGCATTTGCACTTTAAGTTCCTATACTGACCGACCTGGCCAATGCACCATTTTCCATATACATATGCATTAGATTCCTTTCGAACCTTATAAGCTCACTAGATTTATATATTTCCCACCTTCTAATCGAGTGAGAGTGCTAGATTCCCTTTACTTTTTGAGAAATGAGCGTTTCCGTTCTCCTTGGCCCTACTTGCACTATAAGTGCGAAATGCCGGCCAGACTGGCCGATGCTCCATTTTCTCTACACATGTGCGTTAGTTACCTTTCAAACCCTTACGTTCACTAGATGAATTTATTTCCTACCTTCTATTTGAGTGAGACCACTTGATTCCGTGTACTATGCGAGATCTGAGCGCTTCCGTTCTCCCTGGCATTTGCACTCTAAGTTCCCATACTGACCGACCTGGCCAATGCACCATTTTCCATATACATATGCATTAGATTCCTTTTGAACCTTATAAGCTCACTAGATTTATATATTTCCCACCTTCTGATCGAGTGAGACTGCTGGATTCCCTTTACTTTTTGAGAAACGAGCGTTTCCGTTCTCCTTGGCCCTACTTGCACTATAAGTGCGAAATGCCGGCGAGACTGGCGGATGCTCCATTTTCTCTACACATGTGCGTTAGTTACCTTTCAAACCCTTACGTCCACTAGATGAATTTATTTCCTACCTTCTATTTGAGTGAGACCACTAGATTCCGTGTACTATGCGAGATCTGAGCGCTTCCGTTCTCCCTGGTATTTGCACTCTAAGTTCCCATACTGACCGACCTTGCCAATGCACCATTTTCGATATACATATGCATTAGATTCCTTTCGAACCTTATTAGCTCATTAAATTTATATATTTCCCACCTTCTGATCGAGTGAGACCGCTAGATTCCCTCTACTTTTTGAGAAATGAGCGTTTCCGTTCTCCTTGGCCCTACTTGCACTATAAGTGCGAAATGCCGGCCAGACTGGCCGATGCGCAATTTTCTCTACACATGTGCGTTAGTTACCTTTCAAACCCTTACGTTCACTAGATAAATTTATTTCCTACCTTCTATTTGAGTGAGACCACTAGATTCCGTGTACTATGCGAGATCTTAGCGCTTCCGTTCTCCGAGGCATTTGCACTCTAAGTTCCCATACTGACCGACCTGGCCAATGCACCACTTTCCATATACATATGCACTAGATTCCTTTCGAACATTATTAGCTCACTAGATTTATATATTTCCCACCTTCTGATCGAGTGAGACCGCTAGATTCCCTTTACTTTTTGAGAAATGAGCGTTTCCGTTCTCCTTGGCCCTAGTTGCACTATAAGTGCGAAATGCTGGCCAGACTGGCCGATGCACCATTTTCTCTACACGTGTGTGTTAGTTACCTTTCAAACCCTTACGTTCACTAGATGAATTTATTTCCTACATTCTATTTGAGTGAGACCACTAGATTCCGTGTACTATGCGAGATCTGAGCCCTTCCGTTCTTCCTGGCATTTGCACTCTAAGTTCCCATACTGACCGACCTGGCCAATGCACCATTTTCCATATACATATGCATTAGATTCCTTTCGAACCTTATTAGCTCACTAGATTTATATATTTCCCACCTTCTGATCGAGTGAGACCGCTGGATTCCCTCTACTTTTTGAGAAATGAGCGTTTCCGTACTCCTTGGCCCTAGTTGCACTAAAAGTGCGAAATGCCGGCCAGACTGGCCGATGCACCATTTTCTCTACACATGTGCGTTAGTTACCTTTCAAACCCTTACGTTCACTAGATGAATTTATTCCCTACCTTCTATTTGAGTGAGACCACTAGATTCCGTGTACTATGCGAGATCTGAGCGCTTCCGTTCTCCCTGGCATTTGCACTCTAAGTTCCCATACTGACCAACCTGGCCAATGCACCATTTTCCATACACATATGCATTAGATTCCTTTCGAACCTTATTAGCTTACTAGATTTATATATTTGCCACCTTCTGATCAAGTGAGACCGCTAGATTCCCTCTACTTTTCGAGAAATGAGCGTTTCCGTTCTCCTTGGCCCTAGTTGCACTATAAGTGCGAAATGCCGGCCAGACTGGCCGATGCACAATTTTCTCTACACATGTGCGTTCGTTACCTTTCAAACCCTTACGTTCACTAGATGAATTTATTTCCTACTTTCTATTTGAGTGAGACCACTTGATTCCGTGTACTATGCGAGATCTGAGCGCTTCCGTTCTCCCTGGCATTTGCATTTTAAGTTCCGATACTGACCGACCTGGCCAATGCACCATTTTCTCTATACATGTGCGTTGAATACATTTCAAACCTTTTTAGCTGACTAGATTTATATATTTCCCACCTTCTGATCGAGTGAGATCGTTAGATTCCCTCCACTTTTTGAGAAACGAGCGTTTCCGTTCTCCCTGGCCCCACCTGCACTATGAGTGGGAAATGCCGGCCAGACTGGCCGATGCACCATTTTCTCTTCACATGTGCGTTAGTTACCTTTCAAACCCTTACGTTCACTAGATGAATATATTTCCTATCTTATATTTGAGTGAGACCACTAGATTCCGTGTATTATGCGAGATCTGAGCGGTTCCGTTCTCCCAGGCATTTGCACTCTAAGTTCCCATACTGACCGACCTGGCCAATGCACCACTTTCGATATACATATGCATTAGATTCCTTCGGAACCTTATCAGCTCACTAGATTTATATATTTCCCACCTTCTGATCGAGTGAGACCGCCAGATTCCCTTTAGTTTTTGAGAAATTAGCGTTTCCGTTCTCCTTGGCCCTACTTGAACTATAAATGCGAAATGCCGGCCAGACTGGCCGATGCACCATTTTCTCTACACATGTGCGTTAGTTACCTTTCAAACCCTTACATTCACTAGATGAATTTATTTCCTACCTTCTATTTGAGTGAGACCACTAGATTCCGTGTACTATGCGAGATCTAAGCGCTTCCGTTCTCCCTGGCATTTGCACTCTAAGTTCCCATACTGACCGACCTGGCCAATGCACCATTTTCCATATACGTATGCATTAGATTCCTTTCGAACCTTATTAGCTCACTAGATTTATATATTTCCCACCTTCTGATCGAGTGAGACCGCTAGATTCCTTCTTCTTTTCGAGAAATGAGCGTTTCCGTTCTCCTTGGCCCTACTTGCACTACAAGTG